TTTGAGGTTGCTGTGAGCGAGGCGGACCCTACTCACTCTAGCCTGGGCAACAAAGTGAGACTCTGTTTCAAAAAAAAAAAAGACAAGAGTGAAGCCAGGAGCTTCATGGGTCCAGGCAAAAGATGACAGCCGCTCTGACCAGCCCAGTCCTGGTGAACACGGAGGGAAGTGTCCAGCATTGGCGCGGTTTTGGAGGGAGTAAGTGACAAGCCGTGTGAACAGATTGGGTCTAGAGGACAAGGGAAACATACATCATTACATTTAATTTTCCCTTTCTCAGGCAAGTTAATTAGTGAAGCCATTCTACAGATGAGGGGCGTGGAGTTTTCTTTACATTTCCCTGGGAGGGCTTCACCCAGGATGTTAACTATTTGGTTATAGAACCTGGTATCTAAAATCAGGGGTTGGCAAACCATTGCCTGCCACCTGTTTTTGTATAGCAGATGAGCTAAGAATCGTTTTTAAATGATTAGAAAAAAAAAAAACAAACATCAAAGGAATATTTTATGACTAATATTTCAAGATGTGAAAAGTATGTGAAATGCACATCCCAGTGCCTAGAAATGAAGTTTTTTGTCGGCACAGAGCCTGTTGTTCTGTTTCCCTGTATTGTCTGTGGCTAGTTTCACGCTACCATGGCAGAGCGGAGCAGTTGCAACAGAGGCTGCCCACAAAACCAAAAGTATTTGCTGTCTGGCCCTTTATAGAAGTATGCCAACCCCTGATTTAAAGTAATTGATTCCAACATCCTCCAAAATCAGCTGGTGGCTCTGCAGATAGGTGTAGCCACTAGTCCTTTTCTTGGTAGACTCATTGCCAAGGGATAGTTTCAGCAGTTCCTTTGTTGTATGTGCCATGCTTCGTAAAGAGAGGGGTCTCACGCTCAAATATACGGGGAATATACCTCACACTACATAGATATATGTGATTTATTCCTCTTTATTTATTTATTTAGAGACAGAGCCTCACTCTGTTGCCTGGGCTAGAGTGCCGTGGCATCAGCCTAGCTCACAGCAACTTCAAACTCCTGGGCTCCAGTGATCCTTCTGCCTCAGCCTCCCGAGTAGCTGGGACTACAGGCATGTGCCACCATGCCCGGCTAATTTTTTGTATATATTTTTAGTTGGCCAATTAATTTCTTTCTATTTTTAGTAGAGACGGGGGTCTCGCTCTTGCTCAGGCTGGTTTCGAACTCCTGACTTCGAGCGATCCGCCCGCCTCGGCCTCCCTCCCAGAGTGCTGGGATGACAGGCGTGAGCCGCCGCGCCCGGCCGGATTTATTTCTCTTTAGAGAGCACACCAGTGTAACTGCTTAATGTAGTCCTCCACAAATGGAAAAAAAGGGTTCCCTAATCAGATAGTCATGGGAAACAGATGGACAATGAAAGTGCTGAGAAGGCCTCCAGTAGAGAAGTTGGTTTAACTGTTTATCCCTTTTCGGGTTTTCGGGACTTCTTGCTTTTTTTCTTCCCTTTGCCCCGGGTTGAAGGGATGAGGCCTGCTGGCTTTGTGTCCCTAGGAGGAGGAAGGGCCAGCCAGTGAGGAGCTTTTAAAGCCCTTTCCTTGTGGGAGGGGCCACAAGGGGCCAGCTCTCTCAGGGCTGAGAAAGTCTAGGCCAGGGTTTCTCAAAGAATGCCCTCAGGTCCACCTGCCTTGGAATCACCTGGCGAGGGGTTGGGGGGGCGGGGCTGGCTAAAACGGGCTCTGGAGCCATCTCAGACTCTCTGGGCAGTGGGGCCTAGGAGTCTGCATTTTAACCAGCTCCCCAAATGCTGGTGATGCTCATGAATGCTGAAGTTGGATTTCCTCTTGACCCATCCTTCCTAGCATTCGTGATGCTCATGAATGCTGAAGTTGGATTTCCTCTTGACCCATCCTACATTTGCCTGATGTAGAGTTGAAGGACCCTGTCTCCTTCCGCCTTTATCCCCACCTGACGTGTGTGTTTGTTGAATGAGTAATAAATAGCACCTGCCACTTGTGAGGGCTTCTCGGGTGCTGAGCTGATCTCCTTGGATCTTCACCGCAACCCTATGAACTGGTTCTTCTCATCGCCCCCAGGTGGCAGGTGGGCAAACTGAGGCCTAGAAAAGGGTTGGCAACATGTTTGTGAGTTAAAAGACAGTGCCGGGGTTCATGCCAGGCAGGTGTGACAGCAGGCAGATGGATGCTGATTGGCTACAGTGACTCAAGTCCTCGAGCTGGGCCAGACCTGGGCCCCCGAGGGTGTGAGGAGCCTTCAAGGGAGGCAGCCTCTCTTTTGCTGGCAGGACGGAGTTGGGGGAGGGCAGAGACCCCAGGAAGATGTCTCCTCCATGTGCAAGGCCGGCGGCAGCCTCTTCCTTGCCCAGGTGGGCAGCCTCTTCCTTCCCCGCTGCCTGAGTCCCCAGGCAGGGGAGCAGCGAGGCTGGCCACCAGCCAGCTGGGGAAACCCCAGACAGCCCCCCATCCTGCCCACCCGGTGACCTGACCTGGCAGGGAAGGCGGCCCTAGGGCCCTGCTGGCTCCACCCACACCAGCTAGCAGCAAATCCTGTGGCCCCTGCCCAGCCCACCCCAAGCCCAAGGGACAGGCCCCTTTGTCCTGAAGTGGAGGCAGGGCCAGGAGGCTTTTTCCTCCTTCTGGAACCTTGTTAAAGGGCCCCGGGCAGTGTTGAGGCCAGAGCCCCTTCTGCAGCAGACGCTCGCTCGGGGAGGTGTTGCCCACACGGTCGGATTGAACTCCCCGCAGCCCCGCGTGGCACGGCCTGCTGTCCTCCCATTTCACAGATGGGGCGGTGGAGGCCCTCTCCAAAAGCCGCACAGCTAGGAGGTAGCCAAGTTCAAGTCACGCGCCCAGCCCTGTCCAGGGCCCGTCCCTCACCTGGCTTGCCCCCTGCGGCGTCTTGAGTTTGGCACTGCAGGGCAGAACTCGGATCGTGGGGAGGGAGGTGGGAGGCATGAACAGCATGCCCAGCCCCGCTGGGGCTGCTCACCTGGCTCCCTGCTCCCTGGTCCCTGGTCCTGCCGCCCTAACTGGGGCCCTGGGCAGGTGGCGCAGCCTCTGCAGGTGGTGCTGAGGTCTCCCTGTCAGCAAATTGGGGACGATGCTGTGTACCGATTGTGAGCAGCAGATGAGCCCTGCGCCCGGCATCCTGCGTGGGGATGGGGGCTGAGAGCATATGTCTGGGGGCCAGAGAGACCTAGCTTCGAGTCCTTCCCTTGCCGGTTTCTGCGAGGCTTTTGGTCCTCCCCCAGCCCCACCCCAGCCTTGGCTTAGCTCACCTGCGAAATGGGCGTGCCGGCGCCTCCAGCATGGGGCTGCCGGGGACAGATGATCCCAGCGGAGGGCTCTTGGAAAGACAGCCACAGTTGTTTTTCTCCTCCTCCTTCCCTTAAAAGTCCCCCTCTGGGTCACCCAGTGGCTGGAGGGCCGCCTGGGCGCGCCGCATGCAGGTGCTCAAGGGAGGGTGCAGAAGAGCCTCCTGCTCAGTGCCGGCGGGCTCAGAGTCACCCCGGGTCACGGCCAAGTGCAGGCAGGGCTCTCAGACGCAGACGCCTCCAGACGCCGGCCGCCACTGTGCAGGGGGTCGGAGCATCTCCTCTTACCCACTTACCCACTCGTTTGTTCCCCCGCCCCTCAGATGCTCAGGAGCGGGGGGCAGGGCTTCGTAGTGCCGGCCCCCAAGCCGCCTGCCCATCCCCTGCTGCGGCAAGAGTGAGCAGGAGGGCCCGTGCCCAGCCCGGCACCTGGGAGGAAGACCACGGCCCTTTAGTAGCCAGGAAAGCTGCCTCTGCCACCCAGCCAGGCCAGCCCCATTTCGAGGTCCGAGGTGGCTTGTCCCCGGCCTCGGAAGGGCACCGTGCCCTGAGGAGCTCACACCTGGTGTCGAGACCCACAACCACACCCGGGCAGAGGGCCCGAAAGCTCCTGTGGCCACCACCAGCTGGGGGGGGGGCACGTTTTAGCGTCACACGCCTTCCCGTGTCTGGCGCCCCACTGGGCATGATACCCAGTCGAGCATCCAAGTCCAGATGGCGGGCGCGTAGGGAGCTGGCATGGGCTTGCCGAGGGACAGCTTTCCCGGGACTTCGCTTTCTGGCCGTTAGCTGACTAGTCCCAGGTGCAGAACACCCAGGGTTCAAAACTCAGCCCTGCCGCTTACTTCCCAGCTGTGTGGCCTTGGGCAAGCGCCTTCACCTCTCTGAGCCTCCACCCTGCCCAGCCTACACAGCGCTCGGGAGATGCCACCGGGCATCGCTGCCCAGGGGCAGGAGGCAGGGTAGAGGCTGCCCCTGGCATCCGGGAGCCGGCCCAGTGGGAACGGTGCCGCCCATCTCCGGGTGAGGGCACAGAGCCACCAGACATGCCCGAGTCCCCCCGGCATGGGGGTGTGAATGACCCCACAGGGTGGGGGGTCCCTGGGCGCCAGGGGCAGGGGAGGAGGCAGGAGTCCGGACGCGGCCTCGGGCTCTGCCCGTCACCCTGCGGGGTGGGCTGGGGAGATCTGGCCATCAGCCTCGGGACTTAATTAAGTTACCCACGAACCCAAACGCATCTCCAGGGAGCCGGGAGCTGTCCCTGCTTTCTTCTTCCTGTAGATTAATTCCTGTTTTTCCTTCTTTTGTTTTTTTTTTTTTCCTCTCCCCCCTCCCCTTCTTTCTTCCCAAGGAAGAGAAAAAAAAAAGCCTTATTTATTATCATTTTCCCCACCGTTGGCATGGCAACACAGGCGTACACCGAGCTACAGGCAGCCCCGCAACCGTCCCAGACACCGCAGGCCCAGCCCCAGCCTCCACCCCCCGCCGCGCCGCAGCCCCCCCAGCCTCCCGCCGCCGCCGCCCCCCAGCCCCAGTATGTCACCGAGCTGCAGAGCCCCCAGCCCCAGGCGCAGCCACCGGGCGGCCAGAAGCCGTACGTGACGGAGCTGCCGGCCGCACCCACACCCGCGCCGGCCACCGGCGCGCCCACCCCAGCCCCCGCCTCCCAGCAGTACATCGTGGTCACCGTCTCCGGTAAGTGCCCTGCGCTGCGGGCCGGGGACTCTCCGAGCAACTCTGGGGGCAGTTGGCGGGTCTGGGGTGGCCACGCCCCTGCCCACCCGGGCGGCCCTCAGAGCGGTGTCCTAGTCCGTCCCCGACGGACCGGGCAGTGGGATCAAAGCCTGTGACACCAGCGCACCAGCCCCCCAGCCTCCCTGCCTCGGTCTCCTCATCTGTGAAGGGACCTTCACAGGCGCTCCTGCCCAGGGGACGTGTGAGAGGCGCTCACAGCTGGGCGGCCCAGGGCGGGCACCTCAGGGAGGTCAGCTGGGGCACCTGGAGGTGTCACCCCCCTTCCTAGAAGAGCCGCCCCGTTGTTGCCGGCGGGATCCAGGGGCCAAGCGGGGCTGTTGGCTGGGCAAGTTTGTGGCTGTCCCTTGCAGCCTTGGGGACGACGACAATGGGCACGTGGGTCATGGTGCCCGTGGGGTTTTGTCTCCTCCACGCCCTGGTTCCTTCCAGGACACAGCAGGCTGAGTGACAGGGAGCAGAGTGTTGGGACAGGTGGCTGACGCCTGCACGGGACCAGGGGGACCGGGCTCAGAACCAGGACTGGGCGCCGTTAGTGGTGGTTGGTTGTTTCTGTAGCTTTTTCTTTATTTTGGTTTCCTTTCTCGTGACATGCGCCGAGGCACACAGGACTGGGCAATGTAGCAGCGCTGCCTGGGGCTGCCCTAGGGCCGGGTCCGCGTCCTGCCTGCCCCGGGGCTCCCATGGGGACTCAGCAAGGCCCGGGTGTCAGGCTGGATCAGCTCGGTTTTTAAGGTGCTCGAAGCTGGCCCTGGTCCCTCCTGAAGTGGAGAAGGATGTGGCCAGACATCAGGGCGTGCTGAGAGGCGTGGAAGGGGCAGGTCCCGGCAGGCTTGGGGACCATCAGGCCATAGAGAGTCATCAAAATCTGTGGCAACTGACGAGGACCTGGGGGACAGAACAGAGGGGGCCGGGGCTCTGGGCTCGTCCCCGAGGCTTCTTGCAGAGCCTATACGGGAGGTCCAGGGTCCCCAGGGAAGACTAGGGGACAGGGGCATGCAGGGGCTCAGGGCAGCGACTGTCACGCGGCTGGCGTGGAGGGGTGTCCACACTTAGTGCCTGCCTGTGTGGACACATCCCTGCCTTGGTGTAGGGGTCACAGCCGGGGTCATCAGGCTGAAACCTACAGTGGGTTCCCCGCACTGCCCCCGCCCCACCTGCCGTCACTGCTGTCGCCTGTCTCCTGCTGCGCTCCTGGCCCCCGACCCCACAGTTGACCTTACGGGGGACAGGGTTCCATCAGATGACCACGAGGGCCCCTTCTCCTGCCCATCTCCTGGGATCCGCCTGCTCCCACTGGCTCTGCCTTCTCGCTGCTCCCTGGGGGCAGAGGGGCTCCACGCCTGTCCCAGGCCACCCCCTCTACGACTCGCTCCTGCCATTGCTCCCACTGGTCCCCGCTTTGTGGCTTGGTCTTTCCCAGCCGCCCATAGAGGTGGAACAGCCCCCACTTTCACCAGGAAGCTCCAGCTCCTGCACCCCCTGCAGCTGGTCCCTTCCCCCCAGAGAGGCCCTCAGGAGCCCACACCAGGCCCGGGTCTCTGCCCACCTCCTGGTGGCCCCTTCTTGGTTCTCCGTGCCATTTCCTCCTCATCTCCCCGACCTCGTTAGCAACGGAGGAAGAGTCCTGGGCTCACCATTAGTGGTGAGTAGTTCTCCCTTCAGGGTGGTCTCGTCCCGAGTCACGGCTCTCGTGTCCACTTTGAGATCTCCACCCTGCGCCTCGGCCCCGAACCCCAGGACCCTGAGTGCGGCCGCTACTGGCCCATCCGCTCAGGGCCAGACAGGCCTCCCGAACCAGCCTGGCCAAATCGAATTCTGGAATTTTTTCCCCTCTTCAAATCTTTGTTCCTTAGAGGTGTCTTTGTCCTCCCAGGCCCAGGGTCAGCCTTGAGTCCTGTCCTGCTCGTCCTTGAGCAGCAACTCTTGGCTCTACCTCCTAAACCCGTCCAGAACCGGCCCGCCTCTCCACCTCCCTGGCCCCCGCCCTGGTCCAGCCTCTGCCCTCAAAGTCTGTCCCCCTACAGCAGCCACAGGGGACCTGTTGACAATTGTCACTTAGGACCTCTCACATCCTAGCTCAAGCCAGATGATTCCAAGGCAGGTGGTCCCTGGAGCGCTCTTTGAGAAACCCTGGCCTAGGCTTTCTCAGCCTGGAAGAACTAGCCCCTTCACCCCTGCCCCACCCGAACAAAAAAGGGCTTTAAAAGCTCCACACAGCCTGTGCCTCTACTAACAAACGCCAAGCCCTCCAACTCTGGGCTGCCAGCCACCCAGCCCCACCCGCCTCCGCTGACCCCCGCACATACTTGCTCCAGCCCCTCTGGCCTTCCTGCAGTTACGCAAACCCACCAGGCTCAGTCCTGCCCCCTGGCCTTTGCACCTGCAGTGCCCTCTGCCTAGAGCACTCCCCTCTCAGACCTTCTGGCAGCTTGTCCCTCATGTCCTTCAGCTGTCTGCTCAGATGCCACCTCCCTGACTTCCACAGCTCTCTACCCTCCCCGCCGCCACTGTTCACTCGCTGTCTTCTTATTTTGCCTTATCGCCACCACTTTAAGTTATGATGATGGTGGTGGTGGTGGTGGTGGTGGTGGCGGTGCCTATCCCCAGTGCCCGTGGGGGCCAGGGCTTTGTCTGCTAAGTCTTTGTGGAATGACCAGCCAACTCCAGCCTGGCCCGGAACAGCCCTAGAGCAGGAACAGCTAGCGAAGCCATCGTGTGACCGAGGGCGTGCAGGAGGCCTCGCCTGCCCCCAGTGCGTCCGACCGCTCCTCCTGCTCTGTGCGGGTCTTTCCCGCCTCGGGACCCTCGGTGCCCAGAGCGAGGGTCTGGAGGGGCATGCAGCCCCAGGCCCCAGCACACCCCAAGTCCTTCCTCTCCTTGCTTTGGCCCCTCCAGCTCTTCCTGGCTCCCCCTACGAGGCCCAGTGCTTAGAGGTCATGGCCCCGGTGTGGTCTGTGGGTTGGACAGCCCCAGGCCAGACTGTCACTAGCTGCAGGCATGGGGAGGTGGCCCCACCCCCCCACCTTGGCGGTGTGCCTTGCGACCCTGCTGTCCACGTAACCCTCCTGGGCTCACTTGTTGGGTCGGGCGGTGGTTTACTCATCTGTCACAGCGGTCCCAGGGAATTTCATTTCCCTGCTACCGGCAGGAGCAAGTCTGTACCCAGAAGGGCCAGCGGGCAGTGCTTCCTTAATTTGTTCCGGGGGAGAGGAGGTTGGCTTGAGCCCTGCGGTCCGCCCCCGACTGCAGTGATTTCCTGGCCTTTCCCCGTGACCCTCCCAGGAAGGTGTCCCTTGTCATCTAAGGGCGGCCGGGGCCACGTGAGCCGGTCCCGGGGGGAGGGGGGTAACTGACACCAGTGAAGGCTGCCTCAAGCCACCTGGGATGCCTCCAGAGCCAGGAGCAATCGGAGATGACCAGGGACGCGGGAGTCAGCAGGCAGAGGGAGGGAGGGAGGGCAGGCGCTGGGCCGGGACCTGGAGCCTGGGGCTGGAGGCCACGGAGAGCAGCCCGGCAGGCAGCGCCCTGCCCTGTCCTGGCGCACCCTGCCCTGCCCTGCCGTGACTTTGGAGGTGGTGGGAGGGAATCTCAGGTTTCCCTGGTCAGGAGCGCGCTAGGTCCGGAGAGGCACATCCTCAGGCCGTCAGACTCCTGCCCGAAGCCCAGGTGGGAGGAGGGCGCAGCGGGCCCTGGCAGCCGCCCCCAGGAGGAGGAAACCGAGTTGGCCTGAGGGGGACACGGGCCAGCCTGACGGAGGACATCATCCAGCCTCTCCTCCTGCTGCCTCCCACTTGGGCTTCGTGGGGGTCCACGAAGACTTGCGTCCAGGACAGGAAAGTGGAGGGTGTTTGTCAGCATCCCCTAGTGCAGATGGGGAAACTGAGGTCTGAGCAGACAAGGGACACAGGTGCCTGGGCAGCAGGGCCCCAGAGGCCCTTCTGAGAGCCCCTGAGTAAAACCGTCCCTGGGAGGCGGAGGGCCAAGGCCAGGTGGCCGTGTCTGTCCCTGGGGAAGAGGGGCAGGGGATGCCAGGGCCCGGCCTGGCCCGGCTCGGAGCCCAGCCTCTCAGCTCCCTCCGTCTTCCCCGGGTAGCCGATCCCGAGGCATAAGCAGGTCTAGATGGGGAAGTGCGGGGCCCGGAGACGTTCGTTCATCAGATTGAGCAACAGGAAATCAGCCGCCACTTCCGGACCTGAGCCTGAGACAACAGGGGCCTCCCCGGCCTCGTGCATGTGCCGGGGACGAGAGCTCAGGCAGGCAGATGCAGACGCCTGTAGACACCGTAACCCCCGCCCCACGCACTTCCCCTCCCGGCTACCCCACCCCAAAACATAGCCTGGGCCAGGCACGGTGGCCGAGGGGCCAGGAAGCCCCTCCTCCGCGAGAGTAGACTCACCTCTCGTCTTCCTGGTGTGTCCTCTTGTGCCCTCCTGGCCTGGCGGGCGTGGGGGTCCCAGGCTCGGCTGCTGAGGGTCCCACTCAAGGACCAGCCAGCCCCCCACTCACTGGCGCCAGGCAGAGCCCCCCACGGGCTTGCTGGGCCAGGCACCATCCCTCGGACTGGGCCTGGCTCCCTGCGCCCGCTGACGCCCAGGTGTGCAGGGCCCTCACGTGACTCAGGCCTGTCTCGGGTTTCTCCCAGAGGGGCCGTCTCAGTGAGGGCCTCCTCTCTCCCGGATCAGGGAACCCTAGAGCGGATGTGAGGGAAGATTCTGGCAAAATATAGGGATGGAGCCTGCCAGAACCGGCTGCACGGGAGGCTGGCGGAGCAGGCCCGGGAGTGTCCGAATGCCAGTGCCACAGCCCGACACGTGGGGGCAGGGAGACTTCCCCCGGCACCTCCCACATCTGGCAGCCTCTGACCCCAACACACACCCCGTGCTCTGCCCCTGACATGGCCTCGAGGTCCTTGCACCTACCCCAGACAGCCCTCCTGCCCTGGCCAGGCCCCGCCCCTGTGTCTCCCCACACGTGCTCTGGATCTTGGGGTGTCCCCAGAGACCCCCAGCTTGCTTTTCTTCCTGTGCCCTCATGCTTGAGTCCGTACAACAGTGCCCTTGGGGCCCAGCCCATTCGAGACCAGTGGGTCCAGGTGGCGGCCTGCGTCCTGGCCTGCCAGTTCCCGGCTGGGTGACCTTGGGCAAGTCACTTCCTCTCTCCCGGTCTCTGTTTCATGACCTGAAAACAGGTAATAAAAGCTCTCACTGTCTCCAGCTGCTCAGAAAGAGCCTAGCCTGTTACTCTGTCACTCTGTCACTCCTTACCCACGGCGCGTCAGTCCTGCCGGGGCTGGATAACCCCTCTGACCCCCCCCCCCGCAGGGAGCCAGGCACATGTCCTCCCCCAGCCCCGCCTGGAGCCGCTGGGGTCAGGCCAGGCCACGCGGAGGGAGTGGGGTCGAGGGCCTGGGTCTCCCGGCCAGTGCCTCCTGGGGACACTGTGTTAATCACGCAGGGAGATGTACGTGAAACTTGACCTGTGCCCGCCTGATAGCATCGCCGGGCACCGGCCTCCCTCCTCACCCGCGGGCGGCGCGGCACTGCCCGGCCTCGTGAAGGCCCCGCTCGCTCTCGACTGGAGTGTTTATTCCCAGAGGGCAGGTGGCCGCTCCGCACGCACCGGGGGGATTAGCTCCCCAAGGTTGTGGGTATAAAGCCGCCCGCGCACCCTGCTGTTCCGACAGAGGCAGGCAGGGAGGAGGAGGGCCAGGCAGGCACCCCTGGACAGACGGACGGAGGGGGCGGGGCGGGCGGGCACCATGTTCTATGATTGCCTCTTCTCAGCTGCCTGTCAGCGTGAGTACCCGCCTGCCCAGCTCCCCCCACCCCACTGAGGACAGGGAGGCTGGGAGGGGCTCTTGGCGACAGGCCAGCCAGGCCCCCCAGGGACCGCTCCTGACCCGCTTCCTTTCCTAGAGGCCAGGGGTCATCCCAGGGGAGGTGGTTCCAGCGCCCCGGTCATTCCAGAGCTGCCAGGACCTGGGGGGTGGGTGTGTGTCACCGCTCGTCCACAAGTCCTGTCTGCTGGGAAAGGAGTCCAGCCCTCCGGGCAGTCTCGCCGCTCTGCGGTCACCCCTTCCGCGGGTCTGGCTTCAGGACAAGGACGGTGGGGGGCTGCGTCCAGACCGTAGGGATCCTGGGCCTCCTGCCCCTCCGCTCCCCGCCAGGCAGAGCCCCGAGAGGCATGGGCCGGCTGGCCAGGGGTGGGTAGGGCTCCTGGACAGGCCTGGCCTTGTTGGGGTGCAGCTCCGGCCTGTGTCACCCCCTCCAGATGGGCCAGGCTCCGGGTGGGGGCAGGGGCACAGGCAGAGCTGACCCGGTGACCCCTCCCCACAGAAGGTGCCATGCGGGCCAGTGAGACGGTGTCGGAGGCCAGCCCGGGCTCCACGGCCAGCCAGACCGGCGTCCCCACCCAGGTGGTTCAGCAGGTGCAGGGCACCCAGCAGGTAGGACACGGCCCTCCCCAGGGCGAAGGGGAGGGCACCCGAGGGGAGCAGCGCAGGATGGAGCCCCGAGGGCCCTCGTGTCCCCTCCCTGCCTTCCTGCCAGAGCCATCTGCTCACCTGCTCTTATCAAGATGTGCACTTCAGCCCCACCCCCGCCCACGGCAGGGCCTCCCCCGGGAAACCGCCTGGCTCAGCTGCTCACGCCTCGCCCCGCTCCTCCTTGCCCCCGCAGCGGCTGCTGGTCCAGACGAGCGTGCAGGCCAAGCCGGGCCACGTGTCACCCCTCCAGCTAACCAACATCCAGGTGCCCCAGCAGGTAAGGCCGCCCGCCACACCCGGCCCTGGTCCTGGAAGCCTCCCCCAGGGCGGAGGACCGGGCCCTGTAGCCGGCTTGGACCTGCCTTGGCCACGACTGAGGACCTGGGCCCCACACGGCGGCCACCCCACCTCCTGGCTCTGCGGGGCCACCTCCACAGGGTGGGGCCGTGTCAGTCAGGGGCCACCAGGGAAGGTGGAGCCACACAAGTCATTTTAGCAGCGAGAGCGGGATTGGTAGTTTGGAAGCAGAGCCCAGGGCCGGGCTGGGGTTGAGGGCCCACAGCTGGCACAGAGAGGGCCGTCCCCCCGAAGGCTGCAGACGGGGTGCTGGGCTCACCCCCATTTTCCACCTGATCAGCACAGAACTGGACAGAGTACCGTCAGGTTGTGCAGATGACGACACAGTCTGCCTGGCCACCAACTTCGGCCCTGCTACTTCCTGGCTCCGGGCCCTCAAAACGGCATTTTTGCCATCGTGAGGCTGTGTCACCCTCCGCGAAGTGGGGGCAGTAATCATGCTGCATTGGGCCGTCAGGGCGATGCCTTGAGCGCACAGGCGGGAGGCGCTCTGTTGCGGTCACCCAGCACGGCGCAGGGGCTCCGTTCAGCCGCACAGGCTGCGCCAGTGACCCGTCCCCTCTCCCTCCCGGCTCCAGGCTCTCCCCACGCAGCGCCTGGTGGTGCAGAGTGCAGCCCCGGGCAGCAAGGGCGGCCAGGTCTCCCTGACGGTCCACGGTACCCAGCAGGTGCACTCGCCCCCTGAGGTAGGTGGTGGCCCTGTCGGCGTGTTCCCCCTGCTGCCCTGAGCACCCCAGCCCCCGCGCCCCTGTCGAACCTGGGCTGTGTGGTTTACCTGCCCGATTCCTGGCCCTGCCAGCTCCGAGCTAAGCAGCGGGAGCCCTGCTCCGGGAGGAGGAGGTGGCTCCCCCCCCAGCCCCGTTCCAGGAAAGGGCTGTGCTCCTCTTCCCTGGGGACCACAAACACCTGTGAGGGTGTTGAAGGCAGGCATGCCTTAGACAGCCCGGGGCACAGGTGTGGAGGGCTGGCGGTCAGGTGCCTGGCTCGGCCACTCAGCCTCTGGGCCTCTGGGCGGGCCTTTGAGCCTTCCCAGCCGGAGGTTTCTATGTGTCAAAGAGCTGCTGATCTCAGCTGCCCACCGGCTGGCTGTGACAATGACAGCCCTCGGCACAGCGTGGCAGGGGGCTCTGTAACCTGGCCGCCTGGGGTCAGCGCTGTGTGCCACCACTGGACGCGGTGTGTCCCTTCCCTCTGTGCCCCAGCGGGAAGCAGGGACGCGGTGGGGTGCCGGTGCACACGTCTGCAGCGCTCCGAGCAGAGCCTGGTGGGAGTCGGCCCAGTGCCATGGTAGATGCTGCTGCTGTCATTACTGCCTCAAGGGTCAGCCCCAGGGCAGCCTCAGATTAGAGAGGCTGCAGGTGGCCCTGAGCCTCTGGGCGGAAGCCCTGGCCCTGGCCCGGGCGTGGGGGGTGACTAGGGCTCTAGGGCTCTTGCATTCGGACGCATGGGATGCGTCCTGTTACCGGCCTGGGAGGCTGGGGCGCTCCCTGCTGGCTGCCGCCCTCCACACAGCCTCCTGCGAGGGTGTCTGTTAGGCCCCGGGTGTCCCAGCGGGGACCTGAGCTGGCCCCAACGGCGCTCCTGCGTCTCCTTCCTTCACAGCGGTCGCCGGTGCAGGCCAACAGCTCTTCCAGCAAGACAGCCGGGGCCCCCACGGGCACGGTGCCACAGCAGCTGCAGGTCCACGGTGTCCAGCAGAGTGTCCCCGTCACCCAAGAGGTGCCAGGCCAAGGCGGGCAGTGGCTGGGAGGAGGGGGTTCCAGCCAGGCGGCCTCTGCAGCCTCCCGAGGCTGTGCCTCCGGTGTGTCAGAGCCGAGCCGATGGGGGTCTTAGGGAGCACCTCCACCTGTCTCCACACTCGGAGCCCTGGGGGAGGGGCCGTTGGGAGGACGAAATCGGGACCCTTTGGATGGTGCCTGAGGCAGAGCAGGCTCTGGGGACAGCTTGGAGAAACCACCCAGCCCCATTTGCTGGAGGAAGCTGAGAGGCCAGCCCGTCCCTGAGGGTTTGGGGGGGATGCCGCAGCCTTCTGGAGGGGCCACCCAGCTCTGAGCCACCTCCATGGCAACGGAGCAGGTTAGAAAGCTAGGACTGTCTGATCTGTACCCCTGAAGTTAAAGGAGTTCTCAGTCCCTCAAAAAATCAGATGAAAGCCCTTCCCCCACGAAAGCAGGCATTCCATCCCAAAGGATTCACAGATGTCCCCCAGCCTGGTGCCAGAGCCCTGGGAACCTGCAGACCTGGGTTGGGGTCCCAGCCCCTCAACCCAGCACTGCCTCACGCCAGCCTCTGTCCCTCACTCTGTGTCCTGGGGCAATGCTGGCGTCTCTCCCCCGAGCGTGCAGTAAGAGGAGTTGGGGCAGAAGGTAGCCCAAGGCCTCCCCTGCTGGTTGCTGGCACCCCTACCGGGGCACGCAGGGAGAGTGGGTGGAGAGCAGGGACCCCTCAGCCAGTCCCAGGTTCGACTCTCAGCCCTGCTGCTTCCTGGCAGCCTCCCCTCACTGAGCCTCAGGTCTGCACCAGTGAGCGGGGGACAGCGTCTACACGGCGATGGCCCGAAGGCGCTCGGTGCCTGGCAGGGCATGGGGAAGCTCCCTCCTCATTTGGCTGGCGGAGGATCGCGGGCGGGGGTGGGCCGCCAGCGCTGCCTTGGTTACCACAGTCCCACCTGCCTTTCCCTTCCCAGAGGTCCGTGGTCCAGGCCACTCCGCAGGCGCCCAAAGCCGGCCCCGTGCAGCCGCTGACCGTGCAGGGGCTCCAGCCAGTCCACGTGGCCCAAGAGGTGTGTGTCCCCTCGCCTACCCTGGGGGCAGACTCTGGCTGGGAGAGCGGCTCGAGGCCGCAGGGAGGGCGTGGGGCCCGACCTGGCTCCACCTCTGGCTGGGGGCTGCAGACCCTGCCCCATCTCTCCCCTCGCCAGGCCCCTGGCAGCTCAGGGCCCAGTTTCTGCTAAGAGAGACCTGGGTTCGAATTCCGCTTCTTTCTTGCAACGGCCCTGGGTCACTTCCTCCCCTCCCTGAGACCCGGGCGGGGCTCTTCCATCGGGTTGCTGCGTGGGCTGTCCCCGGTGACCCCCCAGTGTCTCTGTTTGTCCTCCAGAGCTCAGACAGTCAGTTTCCCGCTAGGAAGGCAGAGCAGCGAGAGCCCCGGCCCACGCCGCCGCCGGAGCCGCCGCCCCGGCCGCCCACGCCCACGCCCGGGCCCGGGCCGGGCGCGCTGGCCCCGGAGCCGCCGCCGCCCCCGCCCGCGTGCAGCGGCGAGGCCCCGCAGCTAGGCAGCCCCGAGCCGCCGCCGCCCCATTACGAGCCGGGCGCCGAGCAGTGGGTGGAGCTGGTGGGCGTGCTGCCCCCGCACCTGCTCCTGCCGCAGCAGAAAGTGGTCCTCGAGCCCCTGCCCGGGCTCCCGGCCCGAGCCAGCCCCGACCAGAGGGTCAGGATCCAGAGAGTCCCCCAGGTGCTAGTGTTCAGCACGGCCGCCACGGCCCTCAAAGTAGGTGGCGGACGCAGGGGCGGGGGGCAGCGGGCGGGCAGGGGCGGGGCGCCCGGCCGGGCTGCCTGCCAGGCCCCGCGAGCCGCCGCGGAGACCCCACCTCTGCCCCATCTCCGCCCGGCAGGTCTGTCTCGGGACCCGCCTCTGAACCCCAACTCTGGTCCAGGTCCCAGGCTCTGCCCTGCAGACGCGGGAGGGGGTGGAGGTTGGGTGCTCAGGCCGCGCCCTGAGGCCCCGCCAGTAGTTCCAGCTCCCGGCCCACGAAGCGGGGCTTCAGGCCCCGCCCCCCGCGCCCTGTGCCCGGGCTCCAGGCCCCGCCCCCCGCGCCCGGGCTCCAGGCCCCGCCCCCGGAGCGCGGCGGCAATTCAGGCTCTGGCACTAGCCACCGCCCTGTCCCCGTGCCTGGCCCTGCCCCTGGGGTCCCAGCGTCACGCCCACCGTGGAGCCCTGTCTGGGGTCCCCTTGCTGTCAGGCCCCACCCTTGCCGTCTCCAGCGAAGCAGAGCCCTGGCTCCCCTCGCACACGTCTTTTTGCTGCCCACCCCTGGCACAGGCCCTGCAGTCCCTTGGCTTTTGACCTCTGGCCCCGTCCAGGGTGTGTCGTGCAGAGAGCCCAGGTGACACCCACCCAGTCGGGGAGCTGGGTGTCAGGGAGAGCCTGGGTGGCCGCCAGCCCTGCCAAGGCAGCAGTGAAGGAGCCGGCGCACCCCTGACCCTCCACACGCCCTTTCTCCCGTCCCAGGTGCAGCAGCTCCAGCAGGTGCCTGTCCCGCACGTGTACTCCAGCCAGGTGCAGTATGTGGAGGGCGGCGACGCCAGCTACGCGGCCAGTGCCATGTAAGTGGGCGGGGCGCTGGGGGAGGGGCTCAGGTCTGCCCTGGAGTACACCAGCCCCAGTCCCGTCAAGGGCTCAGGTGGGGGACAGGCCGCCACCAGGAGGGGGCAGAGGACCCTGGGAGGTCGGGAAAGCCATCCTGGCACAGCTTAGGGCTGTGGAAT